CCCCAGTCACTTCTACATGCACTACTACTAATTTCTGAAGGTATTCACATAATATGCAACTTTTTCATCAGACTAATCAGCTTTAACAGTGTTGGGGGTGATCCCTATTCAAAGTGAAATGGCTAAAATTTTCAGAAAAAAAAACACTGTACAATTTATCTACAACTGTTTCTATATTTTAGCATGTGATCAAGGCTATTGGGGAAAGTCATGTGAGCTCAAATGTTCAAGTACAAATACAGATACAGCTTGTAAAGGAAAGATTTTTTGTGTTTCTGATCCGTATGGATGTTCATGTCTTGCATCACAAGGAGGATTAGATTGCAATACAGGTAAGTTGAATAAATACACCTAGCAGTACTAATGGTTGTCATAGTGTAATGATGTGTGTTTCTGATCCATATGGATGTTCATGTCTTGCATCACAAGGAGGATTAGATTGCAATACAGGTAGGTTGAATGAATACACCTAACAGTAATAATGGTTGTCATGGTGTAGAGATGTGTGTTTTTGATCCATATAGATATTCAGGTATTGCATCATTCATATACAGGATAAGATTGCAATACAGGTAAGTTGAATAGATACACCAAGCAGTACTGATGATTGTCATAGTGCAATGATGTGTGTTTCTGATCCATATGGATGTTCATATCTTGCATGATATACAGGATTAGATTGCCATACAGGGAAGTTAAATGATAAACTCAATTCATATAGACACAACAAATTAGCAATATGTAGTAAGGTTCAAATGTATGGTATCGAGTGTCAGTTACATTTATAAACCTGGCTCCAATCAATGAAATTTGCTTCAACTCAGGTTTTAGGTTCAGTAATTAATATTCAATCAAATATTAGCTTTGACGTGTGTAGGAAACATCCAAGTTTTGCCAAATACTGATTTTTGAATTTCAATTTTTTTATCATGTGTGTATGTGTTTAACTACAACTTTTACTTGTTATGTCGTCTTTTACCAGATTGTCCTCCTGGAAAATATGGAGCTGGATGTACACAGACATGTCACTGTACCAATGGATGTAATGAACAAGGAATTTGTATTGGAAGTTCTGGTGATTGTCATGCAGGATGGACTGGCGGAAAGTGTAAAAGTATGGTATATTGTTCAATCACAACAATTCATGTTTAATGCATTATAGGTGTTCTGTTCAAGTAGTGTAATTATACCACTGGTATATTACGATTAGTTTATTCTAAAAAAATAGCCAAACTGGATAATTACTGATTCATGATCCATGATCGAACGTTAAGAATATAAGAAACAATCATGATTATGAGGCATTCATACTATTTCCCATATCGTGAAAGCATGCTTTGTTTTCAGTAATACATGTATGCTAACTCATTTCCGTTGTAGTTGCCTGCAGCAATATTCTTTGATGTGCAAGGAAACATTAATTCTGGAACTATGTAACCAAAATGAAACTCTAAATTATAATTAGTTGGTATCTCATATGATCAAGTAAAATTTATGATGCATGCAGTGTCACGTCATTGTAGTCCTATTTGATTGTTTGAACACAGGGACTGTGGTTTGAATTAGCCAATTGAATTACCAGATTATGATCATGAATAATAGGAGTGGAGCATGAAAGAGAATGCATGTGAGTGACATGAGTAGACCAGACATGACTTCGGCCTTGTATTTGCTATAACATTCGTGGTAATTGTGTAATTATTAGAATTATGCTGCATCTTGTGAGCAGAAGATCTTGTTCGAGATATTAGAGGACTGTTTGCTTCTGACTGTTAGACATCATTTATAGACGATTGGTGTTCATGAAGGTCTGACTCTTTTGCGAGGGCTTTTTACAATCAGTACAAATTGTTATCGACTACCGTTTGGTGGATATGTCTGGGTTTCAACTAGTCATCATACAAAGACAGCACACGTATAACTTGGAGACAATGAATGGTTAACTACAACAGATGAAAAAGAATGTGAGGGAAACGCACCATCTCAAGAATATGAAAACAAAGCATTTATTAAACCAAGTGAAAAACGCACGTTCAGACATCAAAGTGTGGCCTACCCAAATATATAAAAAAAACATCGAATCAACACTTCTAATCGCTTTTCCAATGTTTCTGCTGACAACAACAAAATTCAAGTGGACGAAGGAACTAGGTGACAAGAGTGTTCAAAATGATGCAATGGACGAAAATGTTTCAACTAAGAATGAACAATAAGTCACCAAACCCAGTACAATTTCAGCTTCTGTATACTGACCTCTTGGGACCCCTCCGATACGAGACAGAAATTGAAAAATTGACTGTAGGTGATCCAATTACGTGTCATGTATTAGAGTAAAGATTTTTCTCACACTAGGGTTGACAAACTGCGAATACCCACACTCGACGAAGCTGTGCTTCCCATGACTGGAGTCTGTTCAACCACAGCCAACGCAGTTATTTTTCATCTCAAAACCTGAAGGATGGCTCATCACTAGATTACACTCTCGGAAAAGTTATTGACATCGTGAAAACAGTAAAGTCAAATATGCCACAAGCACATTGCCATGGCAAAAGCAAGCTACTGAACAGGGGGGGGGGGTTTATGCATTCAACTCACGGCTCCCTGAAATTGCCACTGAACATAACATAATCATTATTATCACAACAAGCTCTTGAGTTTGGCAGAGATGATATTCATATTAACAAATAAAGGTGTGGCGAAACTGGTCTAGTACAACATTAAACAATGCTTGCAAATGGCAGGCACAGAACGAAACACATCATATCAGTTCTCAAAGCCTTTCAAAACATGGTACTACCCAAATATTCGACCACAAACGCAACATCATAGTAAATATCGAAGCTACAATTGAATCAGACGAACCATGGTCAAGTGAACGAAAATTTCTGTAACTCGCACAACAAAACCGAATAACGACTACGCGCAAAGTTTGCAATTGCTTGGCCGGTTATTGAAAACGTCACAACTCACATTCTAGAGAACTATCAATGAAAGACTTATTGGATATTTTTATATAGCTAAGCAAAATCATGAGACAACGCATTTCACCAGCACTAAAACAATGATATGTGGAATGATTATGTTGTAACTCCTGAATCTAGTGCAAGAATTTAATTGAATTGTGCTTAGAAAACAACCTCATAATTTAAAATTGTGGGGTGATAGGTGACTCCATAGGAAAATAAACCTGCTACAATCAAAATGGTTGTAGTGCCATTGATTTTGCTATCGCCTTGAAAAATATTTTTGAATTAATGCAGTATTTTAAAGTTCACTGTCCAATTTCTATGTCATCATCTATCTAGGCAATAATGAGAATTGTAACAAAAAATAATCCTCAACAATTGCCCATTGTCCGAAATCTGACTTTGTTTTATTTCCACTCCTTTTTAGATTTTTTAGTGATGAAATCACTAAAAACTACAGTCATAATACTGAAGCAGGTGTTTGAGACTTCAAGGCTTTTCTGTAATTGGCTTCAGAAAATATTGCTAAAAACTAAATCCAAAAAACCTAATACAAAATGGTTTAATGAGGATTATTTTAAACTTCACAAAGAGCTAAAAGACAACTCTAAATTATTACAAAAATACCCAATTAATCCTTGAAAGCATTCTGAAATCACTCCATCTAAGGCCAAGAAATCTAATAAAAGTTATACATGTTTCACTGACCTGCATTTTTAAAACACAAATTAACCCAAAACTTCATATTTGTTCAATTATATAATTCAATATTTTTTCAAAATCTTGTATTTTACGTTTACCTACAAATGTACTGGCCTTAAAATTGAAGCAAACTGAAGCGAGGGACATGAATAAAAAGTACCATTTTATTTATTTAATGAAAAAAGCGTCTGGCATGATAGCTGAATTTACAATTTTAACAAAATAATATTCCCTGCGAAATATCAAATACAAAGTTAAAACTAAGGACGGCTTTACCACACACTTCATCTACAGTGGCTAAGCTGGGATGCAATTCAAGCCCCACTTTTTTAATCTTTTCGTTAATGACCTGCCACATATTTTTGACCCTCAAATTTATGACCACCATTCCTGTATAACACCAGTCATAGCAGCCTTCTCCATGTTGTTGATCAACATGTCAATTCTAAGACAGGTTTGCAAAGTTGTCTGGATAAATTTGACATTTACACAACAATCAATAATCAATAAGTTAATATGGAAAAAAAAAACTATTAAAAAAATTTTAATTTTATTCTTTGAAAGAAAAAAACTTGACACTGTGAACAAATTTACTGCAGCTTTGGCTTAGTTATCAGTCTAAATGGGGCGTTTCAGATCAGCTGTAGAAAAATTAAAAAGGACAGGTCACGAAGCATTGTTCTCCCTGGAAGAAAAGATGATAGAAAACTAAACATTGAGTTATCACTCCCTTTTTGAGAGACCAATCATTGTCTATGGCAGAGATGTCTCGGGTGATTAATGTAACATGAAATCAGTCATTGAGCATGTGCATCTCAGTTTCTGTCATTTATTGCCTTGTATCAAAGCACACATCCTAATAAGCTATTTATACCGAACTGAAGTTATCATTCAAAAACTATTTTTACAATCGTGCTAGTAACAATGAAAACACATACTAAGAGTTAAAGAGCAAATGATACTTAAATAAAGAACCAAAAATAGCAAATATTAATCACAAACAACATTTAAATACAAACATAATAATTACGTACTGCTACAACATTTATGAAAACTTTCAGAAAGTATTGAACGAAGACAATAAATAATGCTAAAAATAAACTAAAAACATGCTGGCTATTTAAAGGAATATTTCATATTCAAATACTTGGGTCATAAACCTTGGTTAACCCAAACCACCTCAAATAAAACCCAATTTGGCGGTTTCAAGGGCTAGACAATAGACAGTGCATCCCAGGACGACCGCATGATTTTGAATAAAAACAGCAATTCAAACCGATCTCGTTCACACCCTCCAAGATGTTTATTTGTAGAATTGACAGTTATTTTTACGTTGATTTGTAAAGACCAGATAGTTGTCTCTAAAATGTGTTGATCTATTTGTCAGCAAGCTTCATTTTACATTGTGTCTTGCCAAAAAAACAACACTCTTCTTCCAAATCCTGGTGAAAATAGTGCTGAAAGAGTTCTGAATAAATTGTTTTGTTTCGATAAGCTGTTACGCTTGAGTCGCAAATCAAAACAGAAAACAAACTAAATGGACTCTCCTGAAAGAAGGAACTACAGTAACTGTAAACATTTATTCAAGGAAAAATGTATTCAACTGCAGACGAGACTGCCTATAAAAAACGAACCCTGACCTCTGGAGATGCCTTATTAATATAGTGCCTTGTACCAAGGAGCCGCCCATGGCAGCATAATGCACGTTGCGATATTGCGATGCATGCTGGATGACAAGAGGGATTCTGATTGAGGTAACCAAGATAGCGGCGCATAGTGCATGACAACTCCTCACTGCCTACTGCCTACTACTCATGTACTTTCTAAAATAATCATTTATTTTTAATTAACCGGGGATTCGAAATGTTTGCACTTTGTCACCGAAAAGTAATATATCACAATGGCAGCAATTAATTTCATCGCAATACTGTCAGCTGACAATGTTATGGTGGTCGTAGCGTAACTGCTGTCTTTAGTTTTGACACAGTGACAGAGGGACTATGCTTTTGAGATGCCTTCACAGAAAACAATGTTGTCATTATCGATTTATTTTTTTCATCATATTTAGATAACTCGCAGTCTCAGACTTTACAAATTTAACCAAAAAATGTGTTTTCTTACTTCATGAACTAACATAGACACTAAACGGACTGTACTAGTTGCAGACAAAATGTACCAGTATGTACCCCATGGATAAACATATTTTACTGACCATGCCAAATCTACATCTTTCAAATAGTTACCAAAATTCAATTGACTTTTCATTTTGAAATTGTTCGACTTCCGCATGCGAAGCACACAGTACCAGTCTTTGCGGTTAGTGCATCTCTGTGTGTGTCTGTGTCTGTTCCACTGAAATTAAACATGATACATAGATGCTCTGGAATAATTCGCAGACCTGATTAGTTTATGGTTGAAATTCATGTATATTATAATTTAGTTTGCATATTAATTAGCCAATATTTAACTTTTCCACCAATATCTCAACCACTCATCAGATACAATGAAACTTAGTACATATACACTGAACTAATTACATGATTTGCATAAATTGACCAATTGCAACACAGATAACTTGAGTACCACTTACCACTCATCAAATATTAATGAAACAGTATTCATTGTTTGTACTTCTGACCTCCAATAGTTCTTTCTTAAGTTAAGTTTTTCAAGTCTTTGATTTTAATGAAAAAATTAGACTAGTGCTTTTGCTCTGTAGAATTAAGGGGACAACAATGTAAACAGGACGAGAGCTTGCAGTCCAAGAGAATCCATTTAAAAGTAGAACAGTAGAACACAAGACGTGATGTTATGAGGCTCACTTGCAGATAGAAACTGATTACGACAAAGTAAAAGGCGGTTCCAGAAGGCAGACATGGAATGGCAAAGTGAAATGGAAACTAATAAAATGGATAGACCACTTAGAAATGAAGGTTGATTAAAATCAATGCCATACAACCATAAATGCTACATTGAATACACAAAATAACTAGTGGTGAGTGTTTTAAATGCGAAGATCAGGGACATGTACTTCATGTATGTGCCTGACATTGGAATTGCTGGCATCTAGAAATGATACACACCCAAGTCGCAGGACTCGAGTGACGTCACAATGGAGAAAGACCAAATCATCCAGAGAAACAGATGACAAAAACAAAAACAAAACAACAATAACCCTGACTGAAAAGGAGATAAAAAAAAACAAAGAATAGTTAACTACGAGAGATTGACATCATTACAGTGCCTTCATCTCAAAGAGGATCATCACCATACAACTGCAATCTAAGAAACTAATGAATGCACGTGCATGATGGGTTGGACAATTGGTGTCTTAATCAATACAGGACCAATAGTGACTCTGATGTCTAAAACGATGTTTTAGCAACCAGTTTTTATTTCATTATGCTAATAAACATTCTTGAGTGTTCTAATAATTAGTTCGAACATATAGAGCACTGAGCCTAAAAAATTAAGTTACATATTTTTACTACTTACGAATGACATTTTATTTCAGATCCGAGTTCTTGTTCTAATGGATTGTATGGTCAATTGTGCAACTATAATTGTCATTGTGAAAACAATGCAGCTTGTAATAAGAACACTGGTTTTTGTCTAAAAGGAGATTGTGCGCCAGGATGGATAAATCTAGATACTATACATTCTGATTGTCAACAAGGTTTGTATTTCAAATCAATGGTTTCTATGTTGAATTATGTAACTGTCATTGTAAAAACAATGCAGGATCTGATAAGAACACTGGTATTTGTCCAAATGGAGATTGTGCACCAAGATGAATAAATCTAGATACAATGATTCTGAATTCAAATCACTGGTTTCTATAGTGAATTATGTAATTATAATTGTCATTTTAAAAACAGTGCAGCATGTGATAAGAACACTAGTATTTGTCCATATGGAGATTGTGCACCGGGATGGATAAATCTAGGTACTATAGATTCTGGTTGTCAGAAAGATTTGTTTTTTAAATCACTGGTTTCTATGGTGAATTATGTAACTGTTTATATGAAAACAATCTTGCTCAAATGATGATAGTGATTTTTTTAAAAATATATTTTTTTTTTTACAAGATGGCTCCCTCAAATTTAGGCGTTTCGTCAACCACAAAGTAAATCCTGGGGAAGTTACCAACTTCTACTGTGAAGTCAGTGGTAATCCTGTTTTTGACTCTAATGACTTAAAGATATGGAAATATGGTACAAGTGACTACCTGACTCTAAACAATACAGGAAGTAGTAAATATATTGTCTTTGGAAATTCTACCAGTGTTGTTGTGGATAGTGGTGATATGTACTCCTGTGGTAATTCAATTGGATTTTCAGGATCGATCAGTGTGCAATTCTATGGTAATGAAATATTTGAATCATTTCTAAATTATAGTCACATTTAAATTATAATTGTTATCATAAATCATTTGCACATTTCAATAAGCTATTGGTGAACAGGTGAATAAAACAATTTTGTCATATGTAATATGACAAAAACTGGCCTAAAGAATGGTATCAACACTCTGAAATCATGGTTTAGGAAATGGATGCTAGAAATTAATATTACTGGAAAATAATAACAGGTTGATAATACTAGACCTGAAAAACAAAGCTTTAAAAGCCTGCTTCAATCTGAACTAAATACTTTTTCCGGAATCATGTATTCCATTGTGCATACATCTAAAAATGTTGATGCAGTAATTAATTTAGTCCATCTGTCAAGTGACATCAAGTGACCACATGAAGGGTTTAATTGTGCACTTTTGTCCAACGAAATTTTGCAAGATTTTGCTGAAAGTAAATATCAAGCCTCTCAATCGAGCATGTTTACTTAATGTTATTAAAATATTTATGTGATTTAGAACTGAATATTTGCAAAAACGTTAATGAATAAAGATACAGTGAAGCCTTAATGAAAAACATGCAGGAAAAGATGTAAAGAATTTATGCACAATAAAGACAAAGCCACAAACCATAAAAATGAACTGAGAACATACAAATAATTAAAAACAGATTTTATGCTACAGAAATACTTTTTAGTCATTAAAAACTCGCAATGACCGAGCTGGAGATAAGTGCACATCACTTACGTGTCAGAATGGGAATGGACAGTCAAGTACCAATCTCTGTAGAAAATGTTAAAGAAGTTGAGCAACACTTCTTGCTATAATTTCAAATATACAGTAAGGAGAAATAGAAAGATAACATAACATTACTCAAGAAAAAAACAACTGACAGTTATTTAATATTGATTATTTTAAAGGATGAATGTTGAGGCGAAACAACAGTTTTTTTGTCTAGACATTTGAGCGTCTTGTTTTGGTTTTTCCTGTTTTGTTAGTGTTGGTTATGTTTTATGTATTCAAGATTTATTTCTTCGTTTTATTTTCATCAAAACCTCAAACACGGGGTACAATAACAATAAAATATTCTATTCTATTCTATTCTATTCTATTCTATTCTATTCTATTCTATTCTATTCTGTATATACCGGTATGTATAAATATCAGTAACCATTCTGCTTTCCATCTGTAATCAGGTCTCCCTAGATTTAATGACACCAATAAGCCATATATAGATGTTGTAAATTTTGACCAGCTTACTGTGACCTGGAACAAATGGACTACTAATGATATTGGAGATGGTCCAGTTGAATCTTATAAAGTATACTACAGAGAGAGTGGTGAGAGTGACTGGATATCAGGTCAAGTTACACCAGTCAGTGATACAAGTCAGATGAGTTACACATCAACCATCACAGGATTACAGTGGTCTACTCAATATGAAATTACAGTGACTGTTAAAAGACCGGGTCCCCTTGGTGAAGGAAGTAAAGACATAACTATCACTGCAGAAACCAAGTGTGCAAGTATGTGGAATCAAATTCTTAAATTTATTTAATCTTATGTGATCGCTTTAGCACATCACCAACACACCATTTATGGCACTACCATGTAAATGTCAAACTTAACAGGTCATTTCACCTTGACATTTAATTGTAACCCATTTTGATATATGTGAATGATTATTTAACATGAATTTTCCAAACAAGTAGCCTCTCGGCCGAGATAGCTCTACTGTTAGCAATGTACATTCAATTAAAGAACTCATTAGAAAATGAACAAATCTGAGAGAGGTCTACCTGAGGTACCTATATGTATAGTATCAAAGCAATCGGATTTGCAGTTTTAAACAACAATTACATTTTTTTAATCAAAATTAGTGATTTAAAGATATTATCATGAAATGAACAAATCTTTAGCGAGGTCTACCCAAGTATCAAAGCATTAAGGCTTGTAGTTTTCAAAAAGAAGTCGAAAAAGTATAAAGTTGACACAGATGCCATTGAACAATCATTCACATTATACTATACCTGGTAATACATGTGAAATACGCCACAAAATAGCTGTTCATATTGTATAAGTTTCTAATTCTAGTAACGTTTTTCCTTCAATTATCCTTGTTTCACTGGATGTGCTGATGGAATTTTTTTTTTCAGTTGACTTTTGACAAGCACCCCCAATCTGTCGCCTAGAATTCTGTGTCCAATTCATCTTTATACATATTCAATCTTTCCCTGAAAAAAACATTAATTGATACTTAGTGCATGTATATATGTACCTTTGGCTGACCTCTATCATATTTGGTTTTTCTTGACATGTGACTTTTTATGAAATTTTTTGTTTAATGTCAGTTTATCTGATCAATTACTGTGGATGGCTTGATTCAGACTAACTTTCTTGTAGTTATACACATATATTGCTGGTGTGTGCTAACACGCTCTCCAAATATGATTCCATTGTACTTATTTAAACAAGTTTTACAATGCAATATTAGTGTTCGGGAAATTATGGAACTCATTATGAATAAATGTTATTTTTCTAACCTGTTCACCAACTAAGTATTTGTTTGTAGCCTGGTAAATCACTAACAAATTTATTTTCCCAGCGCCTTCAAAGATATAACACGTATACAAACACTATAAACAATACTAAATATAATAAAAAAAAATAGGTAAAAGACCTATTGCAGTACAGAACTGAAAAGTAGACAAATAATTTAAAAAAAAGAATTTAAAAGAAGAATAAGTTGTTGATGGCATGATACCTGCATCTTGAGTATTCCGCTCCTCAACACCCTTAATTGCAAAAGAAAATTTAAAATATTTAGATTTGCTTTGTGTTTCTGATATTTACAGTAGTATAAGTTTCTTTAAAGATTTTATTATTTAGTTTATATACAATTTCAATTGTATTACAGCCCCACAAGAACCAACAATTGGGGATGTATCATCACCTGGGTTGAAACAACTTGAAGTTCATGTGCAGGTAAGCATTTATTGAACTACTTTATCACTGCAATCATATGATGTGCATATTAACTTTCGCAAATCAAGGAAATAGGCATTTCTATTATTTGTTTTTTGACAAGAAAAGTAATTTATTTGTCAAAATGTTGACCAAAACAAATATTTTGTGGGTTTACATGCGTTTTTTTATATTACCGTCTTGTTTGTCCATGTTCGGATTGAGTCAAAAACCGGAACTATGGATTGACCTATGTTTGTCCATGCATCTGTCCATATCTCGCTGTATCTTGCACATGCTATTTTTAATGACTTCTTGAAAACTACCACATCAGTTTTTTTTTTAGCTCCGCTGTCAACTTTGTAGAGTGGAGCTTATCATACGAGTAATTGTTTGTCGTCATCTGTCGTCCATAGTCCATGTCAACTTTCTTATTGATCTGATACTTGGTGTGTATGTATCTTTGATTGTCTAATTTTGATGAATATTTCCGACTTCTTGTTAAAAACCGCGAATCCAATTGATTCCCAGATAGACCACTTTCAGTTTCAGTTCTTTAATTGAAATGTGCATTGCTAACAGCAGAGCTATCTCAGCTGAGAGGCTGCTTGTTGATTCTTGGTATGTAAGTAGCATGGCTAGACCACTGTTAGATTTGTTCATTTCATGACAATATCTTCAATTCTCTATTTTAAGTCCCTGTTTGGACGGAGTCTGGGACTCATAATCCTGTCTTCTTTCGTGCGTCCGTGTGTCCGTCGAGAGCCATATTTCAGAATCTTTCAAATCGATTCCATTCATTCTTTGCATGTGTCTAGTACTTTATGTGGAACATATGCACATGCAGTGGTTTAGCGATTTGATTAAAAATGGCCGACTGGCAGCCATCATGTTTTTTGAAAATGTCTTATTTTGGACATGCTTTGTCAGTTATCATTCAAATTTGTTACATAGATTATACATGTTAGGATACATGTCCATGACAATTTCTTCCGCAATTGGATGAAGAATGGCCGATTGACAGCCATCTGACTTTTTGGCCTTCCAAGATTTATGTACCATTTTCATTTATATTTGGCACATACATCATACAAGTCAGTTTGTTTCATAATCATATCACAGATGGTCGAATAATAGCTGTTTTTATTTTTGGCCATATTACTATATCTGTCACCCATGTATCATTTTCTTTGATATTTAGCATGTCATAAATGGATACATGTCAATTCAATTTGCAATTTGATCAAATATGGCCGACTGTTGGCCATCTTGTTTGTTTAAAATGTGATAACTTGGACATGCTTAGACAGCTATGGTTATGGGGCTATGGACGTTTTACATTAGTGAACTGCAGGGGGAGTTTTCAATTTTATGATGTAGATGGGCAAGTGTAATTCACAGATAGATCACCATTGTTTGACACCCCCTGCCATGTGAATTTAAATTAAAGGCATGACAAATGTTAAATTGTATTCAACGTATTATTATTTATTAAAACTGCAAATTTGAGGACACTGCCTTCACCATATTATTCAACACAAGAAGGCACTTGACTTGTACAAAGGGTCTATTAGCCACTTTAGTCCAGAACTAACAATACAATTACAAAGAGTTGCAATTGCTGTATTCTCTATCCCAGAATCTCAAATTCGGTCATTACACATATGTACACATTGTAAGCCCCATGTAAAAATTTATTGTAGGGCACCACGGCAACAAGCATTCATATTCATGAGATATATGGTAATGACAGTTTAGTGCCTCATTCCGATCCTCAGATTTGCATTTTCTCAAACATACTTTAAACAATTTTAGCAAGTGCAATAACATAGACATGCACCTCAATTTGTTTTACTTTTACTCGTGATCTATGTTTTTCTTTGCTATGTCTGAAACCGGAGGGGTCATCACACAACACGTGTTGTGTAAATAAACTATCTGTTGTATTTGCCACAAGGACACGCTCGCAATAATTCGTTCGCTTTAATATGATGCATACAATGGGATTCATTGCAGTTTAGTTCATCTGTGTAGGTACCGGTACCAGTATATGTATTTATGAATATGTCTGTATATGTGTGTCTGTTCCATCAATATCTCAATAACTAATCATTAGATTTCAATGATGCGCTGTGATCATGCGTAGACCTGATGAGGTGGAAATTTGTGCATGTTAATACTATACCAGTATTAGTGTTATACACTACCCTTAAATGCTATTTATTTGGCTTATTTTTTCCTAGACATGTAGATAAATTTTATTCTGATGAATACAGTTCCAGGGTTATATCTCTGACATGCCTTCACTATCTCATCAAACTTAAGTCAAATATCACACATTATATCATACATTAGCACATGCATTTGTTTCATGATTCAATTCTAGATGGTCGAATGATAGCTATTTTAGATTCTGAAAAATCATTGAAATCAAGCTTTTCTGCAGTTCTGAAACCAGATCCTCCTGTGTATTGACATATTTTATTAAAATATGGTATGTACATTGAACATGATTAGGCTTTTTACTTTTTCCTAGGATGAGATTGATATTGGCTAACTGGGTCAACTAATGCTGTTCCGGGACCTTGTCTCATTCAACACAACTACAATAATCTAGGTCTAGTGTTTCACTGATTATTTGATTCTGTTAAACATGGAGCACGGTGAAATGTATAGTTCCCCCTCCACCTCCCTAACCATGCAACTTTTCTCTGATTAATACAGTAACAGTCTGACAGGTGCATCACATAATTTTCATTAATGATCTAAAATGGAAATATTCTCCTTGACAGCCATTAATTATGCTAGTAGATATTTAATTCTTCCGTGTATTTTGTTGCTGCATTCTAATCATATTTTATAGCATTTTTATTATCATCTTCACTGTGTCAATTGCATTAACAAAGAGTAATTTACATTTATCTATTGCCACAACACGGACTTTAGAAAGGTTACTAAAAAAATAAAAAGACAAAAAAAAATATTAACAGTGAAATATAAAAAGTGTACTAAAATTTGTCAACTTTGAATTAAATTGTACAGACTTGATTGGTCAATCTATTTAGTTGAAAATATGATTCTTTTGTAATCAATGATGCATCTAACAGTTTGTATAACTCGTAGATATTTCTTGTGAAATTAAGAGACACTCAGTGACTGTCCATGGAGACGTGTGTCAAAAATGTTAATGATGTGATTTATTTTTCAAACCATTTATTGAAAGTTCAGCTCAGTTCAGAATCACTTTCTGCATTTCTATTTTACAAATGGAATTTTAAAATGAACTTTATGACCACCACATGTTTATTTTAATCTAATCCTTCACTTAAATGAAAGTTGACAATAAATCTCATCGTGAATTCATACAACTTCCATTTCTGTGTTTACAAAAATATAGATGTTTAAGAAATGTTTGTACCTCTATTGATCAATTCATAGTAAAATTTATTTCTTAAGTGGAATGTTGCATTGCATAAATTAGAAAAGTATATATATCATTTACTACATCACCTACCAGAAAATCTGCACAAATAATAGCTTTCATTTATTACTCGATAGGCTTAATTACAGATTACAGCCCCTGACAGTAACATTCTCTAAGCAAAAAACCTTGCCTGAGGGGGTCACCCCAGGGCTATCACGCGATCAAGGTCATTCCGTAACAATTTCCGGTGCAGCTCCCAGGGATATTTTTCCACTGGCTGTTTTGCGTAACAAAAGAGGCAGATGGCAGTATTTTCTGAGCTTCTAGTGTGCTTTAACAATCGACAATAGCAGTTTCTACATCACGGTAAGGGCTTTCCGTTATAAGATCTCACCTGTTTTTGTTGAATCCCCAGATCAGTTTGAATTCGCCTCGATTCCTGTTTTGGTGTGGTGAATTTTCTCGTTTTTTCATGAACTCATTTCTTGTCTTTTCTTAAAGTCATTAACAAAGACTAAGAATGTGCCGACTAGATACGACATCTTGCAACTTAGAGCTGCCAGTTTGGGACTCACACATGTGTTATCATTTTTTGCTATGGTTGCAAATGGGGCTTGGGATTTTGCCTCAAGGGAATTTGCGATTTGTAGGATTCTCAATCGTGGGAGCACTTTGAGTGGGATTGAAAGCTGAGGGCAATCAATCACGGAAAGCTGGTTTGTGTTGCTCTAAAGTGGGGAAGTCCCCAGCCGCAGCTAGCGATGTGTCTGTTTCAATGAGTGAAAAGTCTCTCTCCCCTTGGTAGTGAGCCATAGATTACTTCCTATGTCAGACTGGTAAACAGCCCCCTGGGGGTGCAGTTACCACTCTCAGCAGAGAGGGCGAGCGCTTTGTCATCCTTTGCCCCTTCCTTGTCGGGACAAGCACAAGCTACCAAGCTAATATACAGGACGCAGCTTGTGAACCAGGCAGTGCTTTGCTCAAGACTTTTGTTTCATTCGGAGCCAGTGGTGATCGACACTCTCCTCTCCCACTGCTGGCGTGGAGAACACGCCTGTTGGCCAACTCCTCTGGGCATAATATGTGACCCAGGCTGTGAAGGGGGCTCAGACAGGGGGGGGGGCTGATTGGTATCCTCGGGGAGACGGACAAGTAGACTGATACTGGTTTTGGATTGGTCATGTTCCATGCCTTCCTTTGGGGGAGCAGATACCCCATCTGGGCTACGCAGTCCATCACCTGCTCCCTGGTTTAAGATACTTATTTTGTGCCACAGCCTCCTTCATGGGTTTTTTGCTCCGGTACCCATGCCTTTGTTAAGGTGGGTTGCACAGATCGGGAAGACCATGTTGCGTGCATCGTGTGCTGTGGGTCGAACTTATAGAATGGTTTTTCTTGGCTTCAGTGTCTGCTCGCCGTTTCAAGTTCTGGTCGCCTGAGTGCTCAGCAACTAACCACGATCCTCGAACAGATGAAGCAGTTTTTGGCCGCACAGAGAGTCACTATGTGCGACATGTACTGCCCTCTTTAGATCCAGAGTTCTATTCCCACCTTGTTCCAAAGAGTTCAGGGGCTGGCGTTCTGTCTTAGACCTCAGTCGGCTGAACAGGTTTGTGAAGCTCAATTGCTTTCGGATAAACACATCAGCTTTGGTGCTTTTGTCAGTGCGCTCAGGTGATTGGCTGGCATTGCTAAATTTTAGTGACGCATATTTATATGTCCCCATTCGCCACTCTTGTAACCGTTATCTCAGATTCCCCTTAGTGGGCAAAGTTTACTAGTTTACAGTCCTCCCTTTTGGTTTGTATATGGCGTCATACATGTATGTCTTCACAGGGTATGTTAAGACAGGTGAACCAGCTGCTCCTTGGTTGTCTGTTTGAATCCATACCTCGACACAACAAACCAGGGAGGTGTTAGCGGAGCATGTGTGATTAACACAAATGCTCCTCCACAAGTAAATAAATATTCCCAAATCTACCCCATAACCTAGTTTTTCTGGGTATGCAGTTCGACACTGAGCAAGGGCTTTCTGCCCCTCTCAAGCTTGGTGTGACTCTCTTGTGGAGTTCGACAACTAATTCATGTCAATGGGACGGGCTTCTATGTGTTAACTAATGCGCCTTATTGGCAATATGACTTGAGTTCAACGTCCAGTTCAATCAGCAGCTCTCCAGCCTCGTCTGATTCAGAGGTGTTACTGGACTGCAAGGCGATCAAGACTGGCCTGACTTGAATATCACCATTTCACAGTGGATTGTCGATATGGTCGTGGAAGCATACACTTTAACGGCTTCTTCAGCGACTAGTTTGGAACGACAGTAGGTGAGGGCACACAAAGAGCGTGGGGTAGCCAACTTTTTGGCTTGATGTCTGGTGCCTACCTCCAACAGGTGCTTCGAGTGGGGTTCTGGAAATCTCAAAGTCTTCATTAACTACTACCTGAGAGACCTCTACAGGTTTCTATAGGTTGGGACCAGTGGGTCGAACAGTGTTCATGGGACGTGCCCGCGCCACCAAGGGCCCTGTGCATGAAAGCAATTAGTGCAATGGAACACTCGACCGAAGCCAGCATCGTTTTCTTGGTGCTGCTGGTATCTATCTGCGCTATTCAGCCCAACAATATATATACTATTTAATGCATTAAAATTGTTGGGCCCTAATTATTATTCAGGCTGCCAGTTTTAGTAAGCCTTCCTATATTGGGGGGACTACTCTCGAGGCACCCGGTCCATGAGGAGTCACCTGATTGGTTGCATCTCAGGACAAGACTCCTTGTCAGTGTAGTTTTAGATTTTTGACCATTTTTGCCTATTTGTGTTAAAAATTTGCATTTCAGCCGTTGGAGCTTCCCCAACTCGGTGAGCGTGTTTCTCTGGCTAGTGAGTAATAAATGAAATTTATTATTTCCATGGAAAGCCACCCACCTCCCTTCAGGCTTCCGAGCAACCTGCTGTGTTGCACCGGAAACATTTGAGAATTGAGACGGAATGGCCTCGATCACGTGATCGCCCTTGAGAATGTTACCTTAGGGTGTTCCTTTTGGACCTGGGTACATTCTCTAATAGTTTTCGTCAGGGGCAATAATCAATAATTAAGCCTAACGAGTAATAAATGAAATTTATTTTTTCCACAGATTGTCTGGTAGGTATGAATATGTAATCAAACGGGTTTGCACAACCTTTCCATTCTGTGCCATCATGAAACAACTTACAAATGCCATTCTCTTTCTAATTTAACCATTGTAGTATATTTCTTTCTAAATCCAGTGAGTTAGTTTTAACCTTAAACATTAATATGTCGTGATGATAGGGATAATTTTCTATAATATAAAATGTTTCAGTTCATTTTTCATCACTTATTTTATTAAGATTATATTCAATAAGTATGAAACTGTATTATAAAAATGTACTTACAGTGCTGTTTACGTGCAACTTTCACAACTTTCTTGCATAAACGTGAACCAATCATGACAATTACAATTATTTATTTGTTGACATATTTCAGGTTCCTGATAGTAGTGATATAAAGTGTAAAAAGGATAGTGTGAATGGTTACATTGATTACATTGAAGTGAAGTATAGAGAGACAGGTACCGCGGATGAATATGAAACGGGAAAAAGAGAAGTTTACCAAGAAATTGTAACGGGTACAAAAGTTATCACATTTACGGCTGAATCATTACTACCTTACACAGATTATGACGTCATTGCTCTGCTTAGAAATGCTGATGCTACAAGTTCAGAGAGTAATTCACTGACTGTTATATCACATGAGGATGGTGAGTTGAATTATCATTCACAACTAGAATACATGTAAGAACAGAATGACTACACCACCAAATGTAATAATTGATTTAAGTAAAGATGTAATGGATTATCTTTTTTACATCTGGCAGTGAAAACAATAAAGTTCATCTATCTGTAGTCTTGATAGATCGAGAAACCATGGTTTTTCACCACAGTAACATTGTTACTACGGTTGACCATGATAGACAAGAAAACAACGCCATCATGATTTGCTAGACGCTCTTAATTTCATGACTAATCCTAACTGTAGAATAGAATAGAATAGAATAGAATTCTTTATTAATACCGTAAAGATAATGTGACATTTCTTTTTTGGTTAACGAGTTAATAAAGATTTTATATAGTTGAGCGGACATAAAACTATCCGTAAATAGTAAGACAATTTACAATATGTA